TCGCCATTTTGCCGGCTGCTGAGTTGCACGATCTAACAAAATGTTGGGAAGATTGATCAAGCCGAGATATCTTGAACTTGCAAACAGCTGGTGAGTAACAGAGTGATGATTTGAGTGACGTACTATTCTTACTACTGTGTCTTTAAAACAAGATTCGGAGGAAAAAAATACAGACTGAATTTAAACTGCACTCGGCTTGCTAGTAGACCATGGATGATAGAACGAGAAAGGGATCCAGCTCCATGCTACTACGCACTGCTCTAGCACAGGCGCTCGGTACGTTTCTTTGATTAAATAAAGGCCCTAAAATAGAGTTTTAGTCAGTCGCCAGACTAAATACACCGCTCCTTACCTTAGGTCCTTTTTATTATCCAAGAAACGTAATAAACGCCTGTGCGGTCTAGGAATACTTACAATAATAATAGTAGTAGTTTATTACGCAACTGTAATCTGCTGTGGATACAGTAAGTGTAAAATAAAATATAAGTAATACAACTAAAAATAACTACAAATGTAAAAGGTCTAATAACTACAAATAAATCGGAAAGTAATAAAAATACAGTAAATAAATCAAAGTAAATCAAAATAATGGTTCTCCCTACCCAGGGGTTTACACAGGCGGTGCTTTGTATATGGTATTATTTTGGATATAGTGAAAGAGCAATGTTATTTTTCATAATTTTTAAGAACATATTACGTCTTTGTTCTCTTCCGTGGGGGTAATTTCGCAGTTTTTCAGTAAGATTTTTCTTTCATTTTCAAAATATGAGCAGCTCAAAAAAAAAGTTTCTCATCTTCAATATCGCCTTGATCACATTTTTTACAGACCCTTTCTGCTGCTGGTAGTTTTAGTTTTCTCCTTCTCCCCAGTTCAATTTCCAAAATGTTATCACTAAGCCTGAATTTTGATAACATTCTACGTAAGCTAAAGTTTTTTATTTCATTTAGATAATTTTCAAATTCATAGTTTATTTTAAATTGTTTATATGTCCTAAAATAATTGCCTTCATTTTTGTCTTATCAAACTCGGCCAGATTCTAACTCAGTCAGCTAAAAATAGTCAAACTCGGCCAGATTCTAACTCGGTCAGCTAAAAATAGTCAAACTCGGCCAGATTCTAATTGCCAAAGGGTGAAGTGGTCAGTGACACAAGTTTACAAAAAAAAAGAAACAATATGCCACACAACATGCCCAGCAACACTACAGTTCTCTGACATGTTGATTTCAATAATTCCTGTGACTGTTGATTTCAGTGACACAAGTTTACAAAAAAAAAGAAACAATATGCCACACAACATGCCCAGCAACACTACAGTTCTCTGACATGTTGATATCAATAATTCCTGTGACTGTTGATTTCAGTGACACAAGTTTACAAAAAAAAGAAACAATATGCCACACAACATGCCCAGCAACACTACAGTTCTCTGACATGTTGATTTCAATAATTCCTGTGACTGTTGATTTCAGTGACACAAGTTTACAAAAAAAAAGAAACAATATGCCACACAACATGCCCAGCAACACTACAGTTCTCTGACATGTTGATTTCAATAATTCCTGTGACTGTTGATTTCAGTGACACAAGTTTACAAACAAAAAGAAACAATATGCCACGCAACATGCCCAGCAACACTACAGTTCTCTGACATGTTGATATCAATAATTCATGTGACTGTTGATTTCAGTGACACAAGTTTACAAAAAAAAAGAAACAATATGCCACACAACATGCCCAGCAACAATACAGTTCTCTGACATGTTGATATCAATAATTCATGTGACTGTTGATTTCAGTGACACAAGTTTACAAAAGGACACAGACATTGCATTGGCGACCATCTGGCTCTGCTATGTAAAAACAACACTAATAATGCTGGTCCCCCAAAGACGCCCATGTATCGAACTGTACTTTATTTTTTACTGTGATATGATGACACAGCACTACTGCATCACTGAAATCAACAATATTGTTCATTATTTTACTTTTTACCATGATATGGCCAAAATCAACAACACTGGCAAACCATTAACACCCACATAAACTGGCAGACTTCAATCGCTGGCCGAGTTCTACCACAGAACGAGTAAAAATCTGGCAGAGTTCGGCGGACACTGGGTCTAGCTGTGATTTCTTTAGGAATAGAATAGATTTATTTCACCAGAAAAAAAACAATTGTAGAGGAACTTTATCTGAACTAATATTAAATATATATATTTTCTCTGGAGGGAGAGAGGTAGTTCTAGCAGAACTAATATAGTCCCTGGCCCCAAAAACCATACTGTTAAAATGTACGTTGTTGTGAATAGTGATACACACAAATATATATATATGGGTTCGGTAAGGTCCTGGGCTTTGCCTGTCAATATATACAGCAGCATCGACTCGGCCTGTACACTAACGCTGTAATGTAATCTGACAGATGAAGCGCAGAATGATGCAAAACCACGGCTGGCATGGTTCCTATAATAAGAAATAGTTGACTACATAATTTACCTGCTTTCTTGTGAATGTATCATTGAGTACTGCATAGTTGTGTACTACGGTATTTCCAAGAACACAGTTTAATGAAAGTATAGTGAAACCATTATGGTCAGTGTTATTATAGTCTCAATGACTTCAGAATATAAAAAACTAAAAAATTGTCATTTACAAAGATTTTTCATTTTGTTTTGCATTTCAATGCTGAAGTATTGTTATTGCCATATATATATTTTTTATCAGCTTTGGGAATTTTTAAATGTAAATCCAATAAACCGGAATTATATTAGCATTTTTGTATAGTGAGTTACCATAAGAAAGTGAAAAATGTTATCTTATTTTATATATATGAATCTTAATGTTCAGATAAGAGTTCCTGTTTAATATCGTGGGTCAGGGAAGCAGAACATTGGGTAAATATAATCCCTGGCACTACAATGTACTTGTAAATAATTTTGTTTTATTAGGAAAGCTGTTGGTTTGACATGGTTCGGAGCAGGTGCTATCAGTCTGGTATGGCTCTGTGATTGGCAAGCGGTAATGGGATATGTACCATACGTAAAAGATAAATACATCAAAGAGGAAGGAGAAGAATCGTAATCGTGAATATTCTTCTAAAATTGTCTGTAGGGTAGGTGTGAATATAGATGTACACAAGACATGCAACATTGGTAGATATAGAAAAGTATTATATGCCTGTTGCATGTCATGTGTTTGAATACCCATATTTGCTATTAGTAAAATACTATTGGTCGTCACGCTGCACATGTGTCATTTTGTGTTGATACCTCACAATCACCAAGAATTTACATAGTTAAAACGTCTCAAATTTGAAATCAAATTTTTGCACAACAGTCAAAGTCTCTATGTATCTACATGTATCTTGTGTATATGTTTAAATTTTTGTTATTCCAGACAACAGTTCCAGACGTTAAATGTCACTGTTGTTTCTCCTGACTTTTTTTTTTATCTGCATTTGCAAGTGCCAGTGTTGACATAGTGCATTTTGCCACAGAGACCATAATCCAGTTTGGGACCCTGTAGAACCGAAAATACGGCTTTTATACCCTGGTAGAAATTCTCAGACAAATGAGGTGTATTGTTATTTTCAGAAGCCTCATGTAATTACTTTTGTAATTTTCTCTTCTTCATCCACAGATAGTGAATATTGTATGTTTCCAGTATCTTGATGTCTGCTCCATTGCATACTGCTTATTCTGTTAAGAATCTCCATCACCCCAGGACATCCCGATTCTACAAATATTATTAATATAGTCTGTTTGTTTGTTTGTTTTGAAATGTTTTTAAAAATGTTTAATACATTTTGTTGAAATAAAAAGTCCTTGTAACTGTATTCTTTTGGTTCTCTGTATCTCTAATGCAAATAAGTGAGATTTGTACTTTTGTGCATTGCATCATGGGAAAATGCTGACACACATTTGTATCAAATAAAGAGTAAACACAATTAAAGTTGTCATGGTGGTTTGCAAGTTGGGATCCTGCCAGCAAAATCATATGCATTTCATATAGTAAAACATCAAACGAGTCTAGACCTGAAGTTCAAAGTTGGGTGATTGGAAAGTCAGAACAGGAAATTTTCAATAGTGGGTACACTCAATTGTATGTGCTTTTAAAATGTGCCATCAACTTCTACCAATCACAAGCAGGAACTCTTGTTGGAGACGGGTGTGGCAAGCTATATTTGTCAAGTTAATCATAACCCGGGTTCAATTGAGGATTAATCATTCACATAGATTGCAATGCAATTGAGTGCACCCAGTGTCATTTTTCCAGGGTTTGGGTGGAGGTACAACAAAAAACTAACAATGACTGTGTGATTAAAGTTGGTGTATGTACAATATTTAGAGCAAACTATGTAGTTGTACTGCCAATAATTCGAAATGAAGCATTGATATCCAGATTACATCTATTTGGAATTCCCTCTGGAGTCAATTCATGACAACCTTGGTACTATGTATGAAAGCTACATTTCTATTTGTTGATATGTATGTTTGGTTGGCCAATCAACTATTAGAATACATGTACCAGCAAAATTGGTAATTTATAACTTGTACAAGGGTTATGACTCTGGCCTGCAAGAGCTAAGAAAGACCATTTGAGTGATCATTACATTGCTTGTACCTGAGCATGACATTCTCTGCTCATTGGTGAATCCTGAACAAAGATCTTGTCTCTTTCCAGTGAGTTTGGTAACGCTTGGTTACCACTTGGAAGCAAGTTGTTTGGTCACATTAAATTTAAATTACCAAATCTAATTCTCAGTATAGCATCAAACAAAAACAACAATGCAGTCAGCCTTGTTGAAACTATAGTTTCTGTGCTACCAAATAGCTACTAAAAAGTATATTTATGCTCTGGTACCATCGTATTAATAGAGGTGGTTGCAGATGATGTATGTTGGTCCTTCTGCCCCCCTCTGTGCATGTGAATATTGTAGATTACTTGTTTGATGGTGTATCTGTAGTAGCACATGTACTTAAGTGAATGACAGTTGTAAATATATGGTTAATTAGTAATATTTTAATGATCCAGTATAAAATAAATGCAATTTTTGGTTTATAATGCACTTCAAATGGAGGAAATGCAGTACAATGTATATGCAAAAATCAGTTTTCACAATTCTGTAACAGTCATTGTACATTGTTGATTTATCCTAACTGTTGACCAAGTAAACTTCAAGTACAAAACGGCATTTAATCGATGAAGAGTAATAAATGTGAAGACTGCAATCAAATTCTTCCTTCCATTCTTGTACTAGCGATGGGGACACAGTATGTTCAAGTTGCATTTATGTTTCCATGGAAACCAACTTCTTCCAATACTATGCAATGCCATGAATTACACATCTAGGTGTAGTCATGTCACTTTTCTTCTTCTTCTTCTGCTTTTTGTGTGTGTAATCCATTATCATCCAGCATGGATTAAGTGATTAAATAAATAAAGGTGGAGGTATCATGCAGTATGAGGTGCTTAACTAGTCTGATCAGGCATCTTCTCTTGTAACTGAGTTTCATCAACTTCTAAGCTTATTTTGGTGTTCTCAGATGAGCCTTGCTCCGTCAAAATGTCCATCTTTTGCTGTTGCTGTTGTTCAATCTGCTCTCTGGAGTATCGCTGGAAAATCGGTTTATAAATGTAAGTGCCCGCTGCCACGCCTACTCCTGTGACGAAAAGAATCTGAGTATAAGAAAGTCGTCTGCTCATGTTCTTATATTTATATATCAGATATATGAGATGTTGAACGTAAATACAGTCATCAACTTGCTGATATCCGGCATGCACTGTCAGCTGGTGAGGTAGCATAGACGTTGATGGCGCTTTTGGGGTTAGAGGTTACAATGCGTGAAAATGGCTGTGTTCGCGATTCTCTGATGTTCTGGAAAATGTCATCTTGACATTGTGATTCTATGCCGAGACATTTTGATTGCAGTTACTCTATTATTGATTTGTTCGTTGAGTAGACTCTGTCGTACTGGTCAAACCAACGCTGAACGCGCTTTCGTCGCCCAGTTGGCCCCGTCTGCAGTCCGTGTAGAGATTGAGTTGGTTGAAGCCTTTGTTCGAATTTAATCCACGGAGGCACTGTTCATCAATAAAGCTCGGCATCATGTCGATGGATACCGAACTAAGACACCGGGCACCAGACCACGAAACAGACGATCATGACATCGCAGATCGAACTTCTGACGAGGACGAAGCCGTGGAAACGAAAGAAGCCGGCACGATGCCTGAAGGGGCAATCAGTGAATATGAAAACATTAGACTTCAAAAAGAATACCTAGAAAAATTAATCGCTGCTGAAAAAGAGAGGGGCATGAGAACACGGTTTGTGGACAACGTCAAATTTTCACCACCTCGTTTGATGGGAGTGCTTTTATTGATACGATCTCTCAACGTGTTCTTGATACAGACTTTCTTTGTAGCTGACGAGTACTGGCAGTCGCTGGAGGTAGCTCATCAAATGGTCTTCAAATATCCTTTTTATCGAATATAGTATATTTAAACATAAATAATATAAAAAAATTATTAGATTAGGTCAGAATGTGATTATAATAATTGAATAGAATAGAGTAGATTGGAAATAGAATTTAAATATAATAGAATCCTTTTATTGAATTTTATTTTGAAAAATACAAGGGAAAGGGAAGTATAATTTGACTTTACTTTCGTAAATGAATTGGTTTTCATGAAATTTCGTTTTCATGAAAAAACAGACACAATTTGTCTATCACAGAAGACTAAATAAAGAACAACATTCATGATTGAGTACCGTAACAAAAGTGTTTGTAAGTGATTTTATCATTTGTTTATTATGGCAAGGATGTACATCTGAATAGAAATAAATTAGATTGCTATACAGCTGCAATCATCGACACATGATATACTGTAAAATATGCTGAACAAGTGACATGCAATTTTAGCGAATTGTGGTAAAATGAAGTAATAGCGAAATGTTGATTTAGTGAATCTCTCTTGTCATTGTTGATTTCCTGTTTTCACAATACTGTCGCCCGCAAAAACAAATGCACAGTTATCACCTCCATAAAAACAAAGAAAAACTGTCAAGTGTAATTAGGAAGCGCCCCAGATTTTTATGTTCGTAATTACTGTATACAAATCCCCAAGCCTTGGCCATTTTGAATTTATAATTAAGTCGTTAGCGATATCTTGAATTAGCGAATCAGTTTTCTTGCTAAATTCGCTAAAAAGACATGCTCGCGAAAAAGACGCGTTTTACAGTAACAAAATTAATGACAAGATGGATTTTCATTGTGGTTTCTATAACAACAGCAGTTAAATTATCAATCTTGATATAGTACAGTAAACCAAATTAATTTGAGACTAATTACACATCCCAGTGAAAATGTTATCACAACATACTGTAAAATGATTAATTTTTACTGGGTTTAAATTTCGCTGATTAAGCATTTCAGGCATATTCAGTGGGTTTTAAATTCATGGTTTTATCATTCAGATAATGTGTTCTATGCTAAATTTGACATATTCACTGGGTTTTAATTCAGGGCATTTTCCAGTCAGCGAAATAAGCAAAATTAAAACCCAGTGAATAATTAACCCTTTTACAGTAAATTATGTAAATTTCATTGGGTAACGATTAATTTTCATAAAAAAATTACCAGTAATCTAAAAATGCTTGACTCATCTGTTCTTTAAATATTAAATTAGTCTTGTGTTTGTTCAGTTCATGATTGTATAACATGATGAATCATCTGCCTTTTTAAATATGTCACTGGCATTGACTTCCGTGAAAATTGATTGTTGCTAACATCTTCAAAATCCCAAAGTCATAGAAATTTATATCAGCCACATTATGAAAGCAGTTTACTGTACCATATTCTTCACACTGTACATGTCAGATGTAAATCAATGTTTTTAAAATTAAATTAGATTGATTCTCATGTACATTACAATCAACCTCTGCAAAAGCACAATTATATTACACTGATATAACAGTGCCATGAATACATTATTGTGATTGGACGATACCTTGTTACCTTTAAGTATTGATACTAAATCAGTATCTTTTGAAAATTGTCTTTAAATCTGTTTTATGCTGGAAAGACAAACAGAAATGATAGTCATTATAATATGAGGACGGTTTGATAAAGGGAAGAGTATCATTACTGAAAAAGAAAAAAAAATAGTAATTAAAACCATTATAATTGACTGTTGCCAGCACTGGTTTGCTCATGTGAGCTTCACTGTTGTCGACATACTCGTCATGCCTGTTGTGGGTTTTCATGCATATAGTCATGCTCAGCATCTAATGGATAAATGATACTTTTTTGCAATAAAATTATTATGAATACATCAAATCTTTAGACATCTCCACAAAGAAATACAATTTGAAATCGACCATAACTTTGACTACAGCATGTTAGAATTTACGCTGCTGTTTGTTGTATTCCAGGGCCAATTTTACATTATTCTAAGCATGTTCAGAATGTGTAACTGCAGTTTAATTTTGTTTCCACTTCGTCTTGAAATTACCAAGTTAACAATATACATTTTGTATATGCATATATGTCATGAATTGTGCAATATTTCGTGATATATCCACATTTCAAAAAGTAACACAATGTGTCATCTGTAAGGGGATGTTCAACAAGTCTGTTTGTCAAATTGTGAAACCAGTATTAAAAGGAAAACACTGATGGAAGTGATTTTGTACATGATTAAATCAATGTTGAGATAAAACATTTCTTATAAGACATGTCTTTAGTGAAAATATTGTTTTTCACTACTGTAAAATACTGTATTTTAGCTGGAATTAATTTACGCTGAAAATACTCTTTGGGTGTTTTGTTAGGAGTTTATTTTCACTGATTTTTGATGAGTTGAATGTAAAATATAGGAAAAAAAGGTTTAATTCACTGGATTTTATTTTTACTAAATCATCCCTTTCGGCAAAAAAAACAAACTTAAATTCCAAACGAAAATAAAATATTTTGCATCATACATTGTATGTACATACAAAGACATGTTGTTAATAGTATCTTTAACTTAAAAATACATATGGACATCTGACCTGGGAATGGAAAAATGGTATCAGAGGATATACCCATCCGTTGATATTTGCTGCAATATATAAAATATTAGAATACTATCAAATTGACCATCCAATGTTACTGGTGAGTTACTTCCATATTTTTATGTTATCTGTATGATCCTCAGAGTATTGAGAATGGTTTACAGATTTAATTATAATTTTTTTTTTTAAAGCACAGTCACGTTGGAGGTTATAATGTGAAGTGCCTAAAAGCTGTAAATTTATCTCACTTCATATTTTGTCTTACATATTACCAGAAATGAACTATCAGCTGTGTTTGATGTATTCATTCGTTATTCTAATTTCTCTTGAACTTTCAGATTTTGCTGCCGAGGTTAGTGCAAGGGATGTTAGCGGCTGCAGCTGATGTCTACCTCTATAAGCTGGCTCAGAGATTGTTTGGTTCAGAAATTGCCTACTGGGTTGTATCCTTAATATTGTTATGTTTTGTTGTGCATTTATACTGCATGTAATTTATACTGTAACTTTTATTTTCAAGAAATTGAGAACATTTTGCTGCTAGTTCTTTAACTTCATGTTAATCAAAATGTAGATGTTTTTAAAACTTTTTTGTTTTAAATAGTACCGTAATTCATTCAAACAATTTACAGTTAATAAAACAAGTATAAATTTGAGAAAAAAAATACATTGACCAATCAGAACGATTGCTGTGATGTTACCATGGATAATTATTTGCCCCTGAAAAGGGACGATCTATGTCTGCGCATGTTACAGCATGAGTCACTGTATAATCAACATAGGTGTATCCACCAGAATCTGATTGGCTTTGCGACACATTGTGGAATTATTATAGCCAATCCAGTTGTCTCAATTAGATTTAAATGAAACATTCAATAAACGTGTTATACATACTACTTTTCAAAAAGTCATCGAAAATGGCATTTTTGGGCCCTTAATATCGCCTATCCTAACTGATTATTGACATTGTAAAGTTTTTACTTAACATCTGAATTATCAGCTTCTAAGTTATTTAACTTCTTGGTTTGTGTGCTACATATGTACAAGGACTTTGTCTAACACCATGGAGATGATATTATTGATCTTCGGACTTTACTACTATGCATGGCCTACTGACTGGATACATAAAGAATATAAAGAGAAACAGTGAGTATTACGGTATTACTATTATTTATGGTAGTATACAAAGTAGTCTGTTACACGGATCTCTGCTACTTGTACAATACTGATATTTTGTATGTGTGCTGAGGAAAGGAACAGGACCAACAGTTTTACGTCCTTTTGACTGAACACCATATCCCAACCTCGAGTACCGCAAGTCTGGATAGTATGTACATTTCACTGCTGAGGGGGCAGTCAGACTCCCTATCTCCATGAACTTGAGCAAACTCGCTAACCATTAAGCTGCATTCAAGCTGCATGTAAAGAATATTAATGTAGTCATGGAAACGAGTGATTGTAATAAGGTGCACCTTGCATAACATGTTATGATACAAAAATGGTATATAAAGTTATCTATTAAAGAAAAATTCACTTATCATCTGTTAAGTAGTCAAGATTTGAGCTATTAGAGTTATCAATGTTGTGCCCAAGTGTAAGTGTACATGCCTTCCATACTTTCTGTATTGGAAACATATGCTTAAAAGTTAGGCCAGACTTTTATTATCCCTCGTTTCGCGAACCCGCCGAATGAACAGGAGCCGAAAATGAAATAAAATTTAAAATAAAATTTTATTTCAGCGTAATTTCTCACGCCCGCCGACTTGTAAGCGCAAAAAATTGCTAAAAAAATATTATTTTTATCTTCATTTTTTTACCGCCCGCCGCATACCAAATCCAAGTTGCATTTTCGTGGGAGTATCATGATCAAAGTATCGAAGTCTCGCGCAGATGAGAAACAAGGTTATACATGGAATAACATTTTATTTCATTTCTTCTCTCCGATCAATGATCTCACTTACAATTCTTTGAGAATCACACAAATCTAATAGAAAAAAAGAATTAATTTTATTTTTTCCCGCCCTCCTCAAAAAAATTGCCTTATAAAAACTCAAGAAACAAGGAATAAAAAAAGTCTGGCCTTAGTGTGTTACGACAATCCATCTTAACTGTATATATATATTTTTTTTTTTGTAGATATCCAAATTTTATATACCTATCCATAGCAGCAATATCATTTATCATTCGACCAACTGCAGCGGTTGTATGGCTGCCTTTCATAATGTGGCATTTTATAAGGTCTGAAAATAAAGTATGGCTTATCTTCACGGGCTATATACCTGTAGGGTAAGTATTGAGTTCGTTGACCTTTTTCTCTTCCTAATACTGTAAAATGACTAATTTTCACTGACTGGGTTTAAATTTCTCTGATTTCCCAATTCAGGCATATTCAGTGGGTTTTAAATTCAAGGTTTATCATT